AAGATTTTTTTGATATTTCATTAGTAGACGGGTTCATTATCCATTGGATTTAGCCCATTTAGCGGAGCTTGTCGTGGAATAAAGTGTACTGCAGACATAATGGACAGTGTCCTAAAGAACTGAGAGCTCCTGGAGGTTGTAACAATCCATGTACGGTGTTTAAGACAAATGAATATTGTTGCACTAATGGTCCTGGAAGTTGTGGACCTACAATCTTCTCAAAGTTCTTTAAGACTAGGTGCCCAGATGCGTATAGTTATCCTCAAGATGACCCGACAAGCACATTCACATGTCCTGGTGGAACTAATTACAGAGTCATTTTTTGCCCACGGACCTCTCCTAACTTTTTTTTGAAAATTATTGGAAGTAATAACGACCAGTAATTATAATAATTATTTAATTATTATAAAGTGATAAATTAATAAGTTACGCGTGCAACCTATGCTAAAGCCTTGTGACATATTATTATATGTTTATGTCAACATCATCCTTGTATCACTTATAATCATTAGTCATGTGACGAAGATGTACGCAAACATATCTCAATATTACTACATGTAATTTAAATAATTCTAATAGTTAAATATATGTTTTTCAATGCAGAAAAATTTTAAATTTGATATGGTATTAGTTAGCTTTTTTTTATCAATTTGAATATTTATTTTTAGTATAAGAATTGAAGATGAACAATTAATTAGTATGTACTAAACAAATAATGCATGAGAAGTTTTAGCCAGTATATGTACTATATAATAACAACTTTGGCACACATTGTCAAATATATGAAAATAAGATTTTCCTTTGAAGAAAAAAAGAAAAGAGCACACCAGAGTTGAAAATTTGTTTTGATTATTCATATTAATAATAATAAAATTACGTTTTGTTGGTTCCCGATCTTTATTCATGCCTAACTTATCTGGTTATTTTAGTTAGACATGTGGCATGAGATTATATATACATATATATATGTAAGTAGAATCGAAAAGCAAACATTCAATCTAATCACTACAAAAAAATTAAATAAAAGTTTATGTATTTTCCATAATACTCCATATCAAATTTTAAATATATATATGTATATATAAATACAGTGATGTATAGTTCATTTCCATATCAAATTTTATAAGGGAGTTTATATTGTATATCTATTTGGTTTTGTTGTCTCTTGATATTGTTATGGTTTTTATCTGTATTTATATCTTTTTTTTCCAAAAGTAAATATTGTCATTATAACAGTTTACATTATTTTTAAAAAAGATTGTAATATTTCCAATACCTAAACAACAATACTACATTTTCTTATAAATAAATTGTAACACCCAATAATTTTTTTTATTTTAGTATTATTATTATTATTATTATTATTATTTTATATAGTTGTTTATTTATTTAATCTATTTTAATTTATTTTATTTTAATTTAATAAAAAAAAGGGTAAAAATTTGTTAAAGATTAAATTGGAAACAATTTTGGGAAAAAATGGTGAAAATTTGGGTTCTTGGAGTATTTTTGAAAGAAAAATTAGAAACCGAAGTTTAAAACGTAATTTAAAAAAATTGCATCACATTAGATGCCCGGTCAGCAACCCCGACCAACCAAGATGCGTTAGGTGGCAGAGGCGCTGACGCAGGAGGCCACGCGGGGGGGAGCCACGTGGGCGATCTGCGTGCACGCGATCGAATGACTGAGGTCTGTTCTCGCGCACAGAA